AATCCATCTCAATAATAAATATACATATAATCTATTTATTTGTATTTTAATTCAAGGTCACAGTACATTATATTAATAATAATAATGAAATATAAAACATTTATTACTACAGTGTTTACTCTATTAATTAAAATATCAGGAAATTGAATTTTCTATAGCTTTATTTATTTTTATTTTGTCTACAGTATTTGTATCTATTTCTTTTCTAAATTATTATGTATTCCAATTATAATTATTAACCCAAATTGAATTTTGTAAATTTTACTTAGAACTTCAAAGTTTTATCAGCTATTATACATATTTTACATAATAATATTTAATGGATTTATAATATGGGTCTTTAAATTTATGTTAGTGTATTATTATATTTCACAAAATATTATATGTATCAACTATATTATAATATGTTTTGTAAATCAATTATTTGTTATTTTAGTTTTAGTGTTATGCATTTTTATTTTGTTGGTTGGGATGTAAATGTGTATTCGTATGTATTATACAAAATTATTGTTTATATGTTAAGGGATTTGATAGAATAATAAATATTAATTAAACTATTGTTTTATTTAGGTATAATTGTTGATTCATATCTTATAGTAATTAAGAATAAATAATATACAAAGTACAACCGAACACTTGATTACCTACTGAATTTGAAAATATATTATCTCATGTTAATTATTAATTTATATAATCTGCTACATATTTTATTAGGTAGTAAACAAGGTTCAGTAAATATTATTTGATGAATACATTAAAAATATTGCTAATTACCACAATGGCAATTTATTATAGTCCCAATGGTGATTATGAATAAAAAGAAACTGGATTACATATTACTATTGTATGTTTGAATGTGCTATGACTCTATGAGAAAGTAAATTGATAATACATACATAATATATATTATATTCCGAGTTGTTGTTAACGTAATTTAAGATATTTCTTAATATAATTTAATTGAAAATATAAAAAAATAGATTTCAGATATATCCTGCTTGTTCAAGAAATTACCTACTCTTAAATATTTAAATATTATAAATTGTAAAAGAATCTGTCAGAAAACCTAAAATAAACGCCACCTTTTTCTAAGACCAATTTCTTTTTTAAAAGCGATTAAATATGAAAAAATAACTGGAGAAGGTAATTATTAGTACCTAGATAAGCGATTATTAGGTTTCAAATGTACCTACTACCTACATAGCAGGGATTGCAAATTATTTCGACGGTACGTACCAAAAATTATCTTTTTTTTTTCGAGCGTGCCATTAAATTATGAAACAAAACTATATATTATTATCTTCAATATTGTAAGAAAAAAATTATCATACAATTCGCAATCGATCTTTAATCTTTTTAATCCTTTCTGAAAGACGTCAAAGATATTGAAAAAGTACTGTTAACATTGTGATGTAATTTATTTTTATAAAAAATAAAAATAATATAATTTTATATTGTAACAATTGTCATCGACATCTTTCATTACTCCCTACGTTGAGCACTGCTAATATTATGCTGAGTGTTAGTAATGGCTAGGGCTGGGATTTCGATGCACTTGGCATTGTTTTCCTAAGGCCTAAGCTTACTGTGCAATGGTCGTCTTGTCAAAAATTTGTTTTATGTACATTTGAATGAGAATAAGAAAGTTTATTTTGCATTTTTTAGATTTTAGGTCATTTTCTTAATTTTTTAGGGCATTTTAGAGTTTTTGGAGCATTTTTTGAGTTTTTGGAAACCAAGTATGAATTTGAAATTTTATTTTAAGATTTTTACACCAACATGGTTTTTAAATAAATATAACAGATTAACTTTTTTTTTAGATTTATACTATTTATGTATTGACAGCTTACACTTGTAATATAGATTTTTGTAATGCATTTTTTTAAACTTTTTATTGTAATTTATACTAAAAATATTAAAAAAAAAAAGTTTAGATCATAAAAGCATTTTTTTTTAGGGTTTTTTTAGGGCATTATTTAGAGATTTTAGGTCATAAAAGCATTTTTTTTAGAACATTTTTCGGGATTTTTTAGGGCATTAAAATCCCAGCCGTAGTAATGGCAAATGTGGTCGCGCAATATATATTATGCTGACTAGAGTTAGCACGCCCCACCAGGGCCGTCCCGAAGAACAATTTATGTAGGGGGGGGGGTACTGATATACACTATTGATATCGTGCTTGAGCAGTACAGTCTTTGCTGTACCACTGCAGAATCCGTATAGGGGGGATGCCGGGAGTTCCTCTCCAACGCTGATTTTTTTTTCGGTTAACTTCTTTATTTTTTTTTATTTTTAACAACATTATTCTGTTATATTCTGTATATTAACCCTTCGTACCTGTACTTCCTCGGAGATGACTTTGCACACCCGTCATCGCCGACCTGGAGGTCCGGGTCCCAAACTGACGACGGATTATTGTATTGTCACCCAAGACCAATGTCTATACCAATTTTCAGAATTTTTCTTCGTCAACAAGTGCCTCAAATCGAGAGCGCAAGATTTGATTACAGACAGAGCGCAAGATTTGATTACAGACAAACAGACAAACAGACGTGAAAGCGAACTTAAAAAAAGTGTGTAAAATGTAAATAAAAAATAGCATTACCTATTTTAGATTCTGAGCGGAGCGATTCATTGATTTTATAATGATGTAGGTATGTTTTTTTATTTGTTCTTTATTTTTTTTGTGCCTGTCATCACCTTTTAAGACAGTAAAAATTCTTAGAATTTCTTCAAATCTTTTCTAAGGGGAAAGTGAATAAAGTGGTACTCTGAAGCAGTGGCGTAATTAGGAATTTGGTTTTGGGGGCGTATATCGTTTTTAGCAAACACTAATGGTCATTTCCAATACTTTGATCAAAATGTTAGCAGTAAAAAAAAAGTTTTGGGGGGATCTATCCCCTAATCCCCCTCCCCCTAATTACGCCCCTGCTCTGGAGGGTTAAAAGTAAAAAAAATCCGAGGAAAACGGGAATTTTTACGCAAAATCAGTTTTCGACAAAATCGATCTTGGGTTTTAGTAAATAATTAAGTTTAAAATAAATGACTGTAGATACATGTATTTTTCACTGACTTTTTTTTATTAGCATTATTTTTACACCATAACATTTAAAAAATATTTTGACTTGTTTTGTTTACTGACATTTTAAGTTTCCAATTTTTTTGGTTTTTTTCCTATAAATATCAATTAAATTGTATTCGTTAGGTTAAAAAGCGTGAAAATTTAATATAATGCTCTAAATATATTGTTATAACTTACAACAGCAGTTAAAAAATATTAAAAATATATGGGCACACATTTTTTGTAAGCAATTTAAGTTCAAATTTCGACAAAATATATCAAATTAAAAATTAAAAAATGAATAAAAGAATTAACTTTTATAGCTGAAGATTGAAAATGTAAAACAAGGTTCCACGTAATTAGGTTATTCTGTAACCGAAAAATGAAAAATATATTAAAAAACAGTTTTTTTATTGTTATTTTATGTTCATATTTGGAAGAAATTAGATATTTAAACGAAGAAGAATGATTTTAGTTTTGTGTAGGAGTATTTTTCACTTACCACTTACCTTAGACGAATAGTCGAATAGACGACAACTATCCACTGCCAAAGTTAAAATTGCAAAAATATTTTATAATACCAAGAATAGGTCAATAGAATACCTACAGTCGCGTAATACACTGATAATAGATAAACTCGTCTATTTTTAGAATTCGGTGTAGGTAGGTATTCGAAATGTCGTTGTCGTCTAATCAAATATCAAATATACATACAAATATTTTTTGAAAATAATAAAAATACTATTAAATACTGACGATGCCGAATCGCCGAAAACTTTGACCGAGTGCCAAATTTGACGAATAAATATTTAAAAAAAAATCCCTGGTGGAGGAGGGGATGAGACACTCAAAGGACGGTTCTGGACGGCTCGTGTTAATGATCGACCGGGACTTCTAGAGGTATTAATATTGTTATATAGTCGATGGAGACAGTCGAGAGTTGAGAGTCAATAGTTGATAGTGGATTATAATGGTCGATAGTGAAAGTCAATGGGTGACAACGACCTGAAGAGGAGCCACCGACGACCTGCTCAACACACATTGAATATCGGCACCAACGACACACCACGGTAACCTTCAATTATAATTTATAAGTACCAGTGGCGTATATAGGGGGAGGCCCCCTAGGCTAGAGCCCATAGTGAAATTGCAGGTTCAATTAAAGCATTGCATGTATATGGTATATCTACACTGTTTACAGTTTTTCACCATGATTAAGTTAGACGGTTGATTAAAATCGTTTTTGAGGAATCAACAAGGAAATTTTAGATGGTCAGGACTTGCTTTGCAGATAACTTATAATTGACTTTGATGTTAAATTCATAGTAAGATAACATTAAAAATTAAAATATATAAATGACACTATCAATATTTTTTAAAAAGAATCAAAAAATTAATTTTACATAATAATTAAATTGCGTAATTTTTATTTGTACTGTAGATATATGTCATAATTATAACCACCCAGCTCCCTAAAAAATGTATAGTTATGGCTATGTTAGTTGTGTTATTCTTGACTAGTGATAACTGATAAATTGGCCCATAGTGAAAATAATTCGTATATACGCCACTGATAAGTACCTACCTAATACATATTATTTGATGTTCGATATGTTATAATATTTGATGTTGTAGTAATAATAATACATTAATATTTAATAACAGATACATATAAATATATACGTTGAGTAGGTACCTACTTTGCTTCACGTACGGTAACCCCGATCCGGAGTGTTCCCTAGTAATAACATCACACACCGCTGTTGAGTGTTCGAGACCTCGTAAATATAAACGTAACGACACATTGTTAGTTTACGAGGCGATAGGTGAAGGGGGAGACTTTACAATATATAAATATTTCAAATGTTTTGCTTTATTAAACTATTCTGGTTGGAGACAGTCTTGGCTTAGGGTGGCAGCATCCGGGGGGGGAGGGTTCTCAAGTGACGTAACCGGACGACCCACAGTCCGCCGCCAACACCCTGAGGTATCCCTTCTCATTCGGCGTCAGGGTGTATTTCATGAGTTTCGTCTTCCTGTTGCAGCGGACGTTGTACGCGCACACGCACGCGGTGCTCAGGTCCGGACAGGTGGCCGCGTGCGTTTCGTTCGCTGAACGTTCCTCGATGACCGTGTCGCCGGTATAGTCGCAGTTGGAGTTTATCAGCGACACGGTCACGCCTTGTTCGGTGTACATCGACGCCTGGTAACTCCTGCAGACGGCCCCGCAGAGTCGGCTGGCGTCCGTCGGAAAAGTCACGTCCGACACGAAATCCGCGTACATGTACACGTTCGCCTTGCACAAATGTAAAATTTTCGACTCTGGGAATTTAACGCCTGTAAAACGATGATGTGTAAGTGTAACGATGATCGTAATATCAGCAGGCGTTAAAGAACCGATCGGCCGGACTGTAATATTATAGGTATTATTGTTCATTACTCAGGTCTCAGAACCGTGGGCGGTGGTGGATCCAGGGCTTAATTTTGAGGGGGGCATGGGTGAAAAAGTACAAAAAGTAGGTACAAAAATTGGTTAAACACAGTGTGCAAAACAAAGGAAAACAACGGTGATTGAGGGGGGAGGGGGACAAATTACCGATTTATTTGTAACGGTTGAAATAAGAGACGTGAGTGACCCAAATGTTTGTTTTGAATTATGTGCCTTTGCTTTTACGATACGCACATTGATGTATATTATGAAATTTAAATTCTTGCGTATTTATTGTTCATTTTATTTTATTTATAATAATGTATTATGGCAAATTAATAAAAATTAAAACGAAATTACTAGTAAATTTTACAAATATTTTCCAAAATCCATGTGATTACTGATTATGAACTAAATTGAAAACATTAATTTGTTTACAACTTACAAGTTGATGCGGACCTGTGGGGTGCCGCGTGGATGGTGAGGTGATGGTGACCAAAAAGACACGGTAAATCAAAACAACAAAAGATACGCACTATAATATAGTCAACTGGTGTTTTTATTTGTGGTATCAATCATACAATAAATATTGCGAAACGGTATCGGTGGTGTTAACTAAATAAAAACACACTTTTCTAAAAAAACAAAAAAATAATGAAAAATTTAAAAGTGTGTGCCACTGTGTGGTATAATATGTCAAGTGTAAGAGCGCCACACACTTTTAAATTTTTCATTATTTTTTTGTTTTTTTAGAAAAGTGTGTTTTTAAAAAAAAAATTTTTTATTTTTTATTTTCTACTTTTTAGTTAAAAAATTTTTTTTTACGGATTATTGTATTGTCATCAAAAACCAAGGTCTATACCAATTTTCAGAATTTTTCATCTTCAAAAAGTGCATCAAATCGAGCGCGCAAGATTTGATCACAGGCGGACGTGAAACCGAACTTAAGAAAAGTGTATAAAAAAGTGGTTCTTTTTCTCGCGGGGACGTGTGTAGCGGTCTGTCCGGGTCGCTGAGAAGAAAACTAGTCACTTTACCGAGCCGGTTCGCCGAACGGCCGGTCGACGTTTCCAGGCGCGGATGTCGCTCGCCGGCGTCGTCCGTCGTCGATTGGCGGTTTGATTGAGAAGCCACGGCGCAAAGGCTGTTTGAATTCAAACAGATTTTGCGCGGGACCGCGTCAAAGTTATAATTAGTATGACTTGTAAACAAATTAATTTTAAACTGACCGGGCCTATCTTAAATTTTAATCCTAGACCCGCTTCTGCAGAAGGTCCAAGGGCCATTACTTAAATTTCCGAAAGTATTTGCAATTTTACACTTTGATTTTACCTATTCGTAGACCCGCTCACGATGTCTTGTAAAAATCAAATTAAAAATAGTAAATACTCGTAATTATGACGAACCTAAGATCTCGAGTGGGTCCCTGAACATCCCATCACCAGACGGTGGAGCATTGTAAATTCCGTCGTTATTGTTTTTTTTCGTATCCTCTTTGTCTTCGCCTGAAAATATAACGCAATGTCGTATGTATCTAAATCAATATGATAAATATTATGCACAAATATTTTATAACACTTTTTGTGCGGTATACCGAACTTCGTAAAAAAAAATGTGAAAGTTATATTATAATATATCAAAATGAATATGTGTTTTAGAACATTACTATTTATCGGAATCGGACCACTGACGGTTGGCTGTAGCAGCAATACCAGTGTCGAAATAACTTGAAACATTGCAAAATATTGCTTTGAAATCATAATATAAGTTGGTTTGGTTTTCAAGATAGCAGACAATCTATAAATTAATTTTAATCGAAAGTTAATTATTATTTACATTATAACAATAAGTTACTATAGTATAAAAACAACCTGTTTTTATCTGTCTGAATATTTTTTTAATATTTCCTGATAAGGTGTATAAAAACAAGAATAAAATTGTATTTGCTCAATTAATTGATTGAAATATTAAGCTGGTTGGTCCCAATTACATACTATATGAGTGACAAAGTAAGCATAGCATTCTTAAATGTATTTATCAATGGTAGAGATAGTTAATTTACCAACAAAAATTAGTAATATTATAGGTATCTATGTATATACTATATACCTATACATTTATACGTGAAACTAGATGACCTGACAGACTATGATTTATTTTAATTAAATAAAAGAAATTTAATAGAACAGATCGATTTTATAAATATTTACAAGTTTGACAATGCTTATTAATATTTAGTGGTAAGTTAGTAGAATAATTTGTAGTTAGTGTTATTAAAATAAAAAAGGTCCGTTGATCAGGTATGAGTTGAGGAAGCTTGGAACATATTACACTGCTTAAGAGGTCTGGCCAATCAACATATTATTATTATATAGTTATTTAATAACTTATAAGTTAAATTTAAATCAAGTCAGCATTGCACCAGGAATTCATGATTTAGTCTGATTTAGAGGTGTAAGTAAAGAATTGTAAGATGTACCTACGTATATATGAAGAAAGGGAAATGATTACACTTACAAGCTAGAAAATATAAGAACTTATTCTGAATTTACTCAAAATGTGGAGCTAGGTACTTATTGTCATACAAATATACATAATCAATAGACAGGGTGCCAAACTGCCAAAGAGCCATATAACTGTTTTATTTTAAACTAATTATATATCTGTGTATAACACTATAGGTATTATGTAGGTATACCATTTAAGATATAATTGGACTATTGTTATGGACAGTGTTGTAATAAAGTATTTAAAATACCACCCAAATACTATCTATTGTAAAGTATTTGAGTATTACTCAAATATTTTTTAGAAGTATTTGAAATAATTTTCAAATACAAAACAAAAAAATGCGTACCTATACGACATACCTTACCTACCTAATGTTCGTATTATATTTCGCTATGATAATATACTATATTGGTAGGTAGTAGGTACCGAAACGTACCGTTCCAATCGTCGTCGAGTGTCGACGATAAACAGACGGTTTCTCAGAGTAACTAATATTAATTAGCTATTAATAGACGAAAACTAAAACCAATATAGAATTGTTCATAAATAATAAATATATATTATAATATTATTAAGACATTATTATTATTTGACAATGAATAAAAAGTTGAAGGAATAAAAAAAGTATTCAATAAAATAGTATTCAATAGTAAAAAAATGTATTTAAAATACCGTTCAAATACTTCAAAAATAAAAGTATTTGAAAAAGTATTCAATACGGAAAAAAGTATTTGAATACTTTTACTCAAATACTTTTACTCAAATACTTTACAACACTGGTTATGGAATCATATTATTCATATAGTTCAATAAATTTCAAACCATCCATTTTATAAAATTACTAGCTGACCCAACAGAGAAGTTGCCCTGCATGATATTTCAATCGATTAGAATATTAAATAAAGTATGAAATGAAAGCCAAATGATATAATAATTTCATTATTCTTTATTTTCAAATAACATCAATTTTTCTAAATACAATTATATTAACGTTGTTCACAAATTACTTCTAATTATTTCTGATTTCACGGCAACCAATATTTATTACCATAATAGCTTTAAAACCCATGGCAACCATTTATAAGCAAAAATCTCCACTATAAATCTCAATATTCCCGTTTGAGCACCTCCACGGAATGGGCCTATCAGGTCCGATTGTGAATCTAAAACATTATAGAGCCCACTAAGGCACACACAAAAAATTTCATCAAAATCGGTCCAGCCGTTTAGGAGGAGTTTGCTTACAAACACACGTACAGTATAATTATATATATAAAGATAACAAATATTGCATACCAACAATAGGTACTAAGATATTTATACAATATGATAATATGTTATATGCGTATACTAACTATAGCCAACCAGTTATATATCTTAGTTTACAATGCATAACTGTAACACAAATTTTACGGTTGACAAACCTGACATTTCACCAATAATAGAATATTATTGTTTAATAATTAATTATTTAATATCGAAAAATTAATAATTAATTATTTAATATCGACAAATTAATAAATAATAAATGGTGAAATGTTTCTAGTCACTGGAAGTAATGCTATTTTTTTTTTAGGTACAACAAAATTACTTAAATATATTTTATAATTTGTTCATAAGGTTCAGCCCGTGAATCATAAATAAATAAAATATAGTACCTAAGTTATGTGTCACGGTTTATTTTAAGACGGCGCGTTAGTTAGGCAATTTAGGGTCATTGTACAGAGAACAATCTTATTATGAGAGTTCTTAATGCGAACTCATAAAAAAAAGGAGAAGGGTTGCACTCCGGGAGTGCCGGCACAAGTGAAAACTTGTATATTAACGTCGTGCATTTTTGATATTTTGGAATGGTTAAGTAATAATTCTGCACGAATTGCTTTAATTATTACAAAAGTACTATCACTAGACACTGACAATAACAAATCACTACTAGATAAAACATCTACTATGGTAATAAATATCAACAAGTGCAACATATGAAAATAAAATAAAAACAGTCGTTTTTTTATTTATTTATTTCTACTTAGTAGTAGTACAGTTGCAAATTAATTTATTTAATTTCTTAAAATGAACTTGTACTTTAAAGGTTCAACGAGTTAAAAAAATTAAAAATGTTTTCCCAAAAAACATAGAAAAGAAGTTATTGAATTAAAATAAGTTTTCAAAATTGAAATCGGACTTCTAGAAGTATGTTTATTTTTCCTTCGCATAATGGTCTAAATGCACGCATTCGTCTGACACAAGTCAGATAACATTTTATACCCATCACAAAAAAAACTGACAAAGTGCACAACGCCGCTAAAGAAGTTTTCACTTCAAAAATATTTAGATTTTAATAAGTACCTTTTAAAAATACTCATAAAATATTTAAAAAAAAGTTATCATTATTTTATACTGGTAGCTCAAACGTCTATAAATAATATATAAAAGAAATTAAAAATATTGATTAGGTAGAACAAAGATTATTTCATTTCTCAGGGCTTCCTATTGCACCCTATATTATATACGTATATAGTCTCATTTGCAGGGATAAAATAATAACAAATTCAATTGTTCATATACATAATTTATATTAAAATAATACAATGTAATATATTTATTATTCTTGGAGAAATAAATTAAATATTTTTTTAATAATTTAATAGGTAATAAATATAAATATTAAATATCATGTGAACGTCAAGTCGAAATCGAAATATAGGAGTTATATAATACTATTTAAAATGTCCGACCGTCATAATAAAATCACATTATGATAATTGTCATAAAATCTCTGTCGATCATAACTTAATCCGATTATTTTATCCGGCCACTGAACTATGAGCGATGGATAAACGATAATCATTATATTATAATTTAAAATTATTGAGTTCGGATGTCATAGAATATGTCATTAGAATTTGCTTTATATTGCTATTGGTCCAGTATATTATATTGAAATGTAATGTAAAATGTAAAATGTAATTTTGAAATTAGATCGGCTGTAAGTACTTATTTTGTTTCATTATATTATATTATATGCACTCACGATTAATATAGACGATTTTTTCGTTATACCTGTATTTTATTTTATAAAATGTGTGAAACGTGATCAAGTCTATGTGCATTATATATAAATACACTATACGCATGCGCGCCATTACGCATATATTATATTATATTATCTACAAACTCTTAAAAAAAATCACTATATTACAATTATAGTGTTTTTTTTTTTAAGAGTTTGTAGGTAATATTTTTTTTTGTTTTTTCAAGATCTACGACATATTATGATGATCCGAACTCCAATAAATTATTATAATGAACACGATAGCCTTTGGTTCAGCTGTCTAAATGTCGATCGTCTCGATGTCGGAACCATTGCCGTCGTCGTCGGTATCCTCCCAGACCGGTTGCTCCAGCTTGCCGGCCGCGTACACGATCCCGTTGGCCACGTTGTACAGAGCGTACGCGAAAGGTCGGTCCATGACCACCGACTCCTTGATGACCCTCTGCGACGTGAACGCGGAACCTGAAACGTTTGGTAAACCGTGGTTAACGATGGCGGCACGACGGCGGTCGTTCGGGTCCGCGTGTTTAGTCAGCGACTTATCGCGGTAAGACATACTGGTCAGCGCGGAGGAAGAGGTGCCGTCGACGCACACGCGGAGGTTGGCTTGCTGGACCACGTCGTCCAGATACAGATTGTCCGACGACAGTTTCGACAGGTCTGCTGATTCGGTGAACACGGAATTCGTTTGGGTTCCCTGCAGGTGCGATAGATGGAAAGAGAAAAAAAAAGTGTTAAGGTGATATTATATAAATAAGTAACAACTGATATTATAAATAACCTGTTGCAAAACTGTTTTCAGGTGGGTAATGTTACTGCTTTGGAAACACGGCATAGTCACGAAACTGGGCTTTATAGTCATCGCTTTGGTTAGTTTTTCGATACCGTTTTCTGGCTTAAGTTTTTTCAGTACTTCGTTCAGCGAGACGTCTTTATTTTTTGGCAAAAGCACCAACAGGGCGTAGTCAGTGTTCTGAAACGCGCGCGAAAATGATTATATTATTGTGGTCGACGTGGTCGGTTATCTGCAGTACTAATAGCAAAACCAAAAGTTGGATTGTATTAATTTCAATTTAGTTATAACATCTATACCAGATTCAACAAAACTGAAAAACAATCTAAGCCAATTGTGAAAAAAATTACATTATTATTGGAACAGGAACAAATTAATTAATGACTGAAAATTGAAAAATATTATACGATGGTTACTTAGCCATATGTTATGTTAGATTAGGTTAGGTACATACCTTGTAGGGCAATTTCAACGCTGTACATTCGAGGGAAGGTATTTGTGCAATGGCGAAATTGCCTGCTGCACCGAACGCTTTTACCACGTTGCCGTTCCACGACATTGACGTCTTGTGCCACGTGCTTTTTGGCCAAGTCATTTCCAATGACAAACCGTTGAAGATCAACAGGGCGTGCTCTTTGAAATCTAAAATTTACGAAAAACAATTTTTCAGTATGTAGGTACCTATAACATAATATTGTTCTTTTTTAATGACACTCGATTATTATTTAAAAAACTGTCAACATTTTTGTAAATAGCTAGGTATTTTTAAGTTGTTACAAAACAACATTTCGTTATGTGATTATTCGCTTAAATTTAATATTAAAATCAAATTTATAATTGTTAACATCAGTGAAATTGAACATAATGTACGTCATGAGAATTAGACAATTAGTTGAATTATAGAAATCAAGTAATAAATAGAAATAATAAACATTAAATATTTATATAAAAAAATCACAATACAATATTTTGGAAAATTTAAACTATTGTTAACATAAGTTAGCCAACTTTAAATTGCTCATACTCGTATTTTTTTTTTAAAAATGAATAAAATTTAAATTTAGATAAATGGCATAGGCTTAACTCAAAAAATACGAACTTTATTATTTTTAATGTCATCATTTGTGATAATTTCTTACGATACGCGAACAATATTCTGCTTTGAAATAATAAATAAAAAATGAATGATGTAAATCAGAAAAATGAAAAACTAAAATAAAAATGTTGTGAGCAGCCGAGCTGGTCAGTATTCACGCAGTAATTTTTTTTTACTTACGTGTAAATATCTAAACCCGTGAAACGTATTATTATTGGATAAAAAAATTGAAAAATATACTAATGTCTAATAATCATAAATTATGATTCATAATAGTACCTAGTATAATTTGTAACCAATTGCTACCATATATATAAACTATAAAAAGTATTTGATTTTAAAATTAAATTTATGTATGAGAAAAAAAACTAAAAACACCATCCGAGTCCAAAGGAATTTCGGGATTATCTATATTGATATAACTTATATGGAAATCGGTCAAGTAGTTTCTGAGATCAGTCGTTAGTAGGTAAATTGAATTTGTTATGGTAACGCATTATCTTCCGTTGCACGAAATTACTAACTACACCACACATTTTCTGGGAGGAGCCGCATATAACGTTAATAGTTTTTGAAACAATGAATGTTCCATGATAAAATAATCACTCAGTATAGGCACTGAGTAACTATATAGAAACCTAATTTTTGCGTTGGAGCTAGTGAATTGTTTTAATTGGAGAGGGGACTGCGTATTTGAAAAATAACGATTTATGCGGAAGTGATAAATTTCACTAATATATAATGATAATGTGCAGGGTGAAATGGCCTGAATAGCTTATTCTCAGTATTCCTGCCCAAACGAGTTCGCATACAGTTAAATTCTCAATAGTATCGAGACATAGATTTAGTAGCAAAACATTGTTTGTTTTATTTGACCTAATCAAAAAATTCAAGGCTCGATACATTTATTTTGACACTGGCATTAAAATTAAGAGTAATTTATATTTACTGCAGAAGTGTTTGGATATAGTAAGCCCAGAAAAATGTTCCCAATTCTCCCTTCTATATTTTAAGTGACGGACTCGTTCAGACAATGTTTTTTGTATATCTAACCTACGTGTCTACGTCATTTCATCGTAGAAATTTTAAATCGGCTGGTACTATCCGATTTATCGCACATCGCCTTCGAAGTCTTTAACTATTTTTAAACCGGTTGATGTAATATAATATAAATTATAACGGTCCAGTAAAATTATTCAGTCAGAAACTCGAAATAAATTTAACGTGGTGAGAAAATATGAACTCGATTTGATATTAGCATAAACAAATTAGCAAATATTATATATGCTGCACTTAGCCATTAACGGGTTTCCGACCAGAGCGATTATAATAATACGATTTTTATAATTTATATATTTTATTTACACGCATCTTGAATGCGATTTATGTGTACTCGTATGTACAACTCGCATGTCTATTGTGTGTCACGACTTGTTGCACGTCGAATTAAGTTGGACGTGACCACTCGCATCGTTGTGATCGTAGGCGGATTTGGCCAGCAACAGCTGTTGGCTGAAACCCGATTTCCACCACTCGATATTTGCAAAACGGAATAAATTATTATTATTATATTATACAAAGCGAATAGTTTTATTCGTACGGTACTATACGGCAGAGCTGGTAGATGACTAACACAATCGTACAATTTTGCCATACATATAGGAGGTAGAAAATCCCACCAGTTGAACTGAATTAAAAAATATCGTTTTCATAATAAGTTTAACCAGACATCGTTTGTATCCAGCAGTTCACAGAAAGAGCTTTTAGTACTCTACGTACAAATTTGAGGCGAGAAATATTTTTTTCGACTGATAGTCGCCTAAATGGTTAATGGTCTAGGTCAGATGTCGGCAACCTTATGGGACGAAAGAGCCAAAAGTTACAATTTACAAAATTTCCCAGTTTTTAAAGAACCACTAAAATTCTTCGTTTCAGTATTAAATACTATCAAAATTATTTTGGTTATTTGTATATATTTGATTATAGATTTAAAATAAATTACTTTAAACACGAAATAATGTTTATTTATATTAAAAAATAAAACATAATATACATATTTTTAGCACAAAACATTTTCAATATTTTTTATATAATAAAATATTGTTTTTGATAATAAAATAATTACCTAATGTTTGCGTATGGGACTGGAGAGCTGCAACATTAGATCGCAAGAGCCACATGTGGCTCGCGAGCCAAGGTTTGCCGACCCCTGGTCTAGGTACAGTGTCTCGTGTCGTGGGGGAGGGGGAGGGTGGTCTAATGCAAACGTACGACATATTATTACATTTATGTTCAGCAGTAAAGCTCAGCCCCAGTCTTTCGACCATTCAAAAAATAAGGACATATATCCACACCAAAAGTATGTTGCAAAACAGGTTCTCCAGAATTTCAGATTTTTCTAAATTATAGATAGGTAGGTACAACGTCAAAGAAAATAATTTACAAATTGATAAGACTTATAGTTAATATTATATATTATTACCATTTGACAAAAGATTTTGTGGGTGTATTATAATTTAAAATATTCATTTAATTTATATTTGTCAAAAGAAGGAACTCTTTAAAAATGAAGAATTATATGTATAGACTCACTATACTCTTTTAAAAATTAAAATTATTATTCATTTTTAATTATTGAAGTCTTTTATAATCAGTATATTTTGAAGTATTTCAGTATTCATGGTAATATATTTGGGGATGCACTTTGATAGTGTAAAAAATATGCTATGAACTCGCGGCGGATTTCACACTGCACTGACAATCGTTTGGACTAAAATCGCTTAATCCTTATCCTTATATATACCTAGTTATATTATACTTATATATTATAATAACAGGTATTTTTATCGTACCATACTACCATTGTCTGATTACTTTATCACTATTTTTTTTCCCGAAATTGTTCCATATATCCTTTCTAGTGTCCTCTCGGTGCCCTTATTTCCATGGGAGGGGAGGGCACATATTGTATTTCGATTTTACACTTTTCCGACAAAACTTTTTAATAGTTTCACCATTTTTTTTAATAATTATGTTTTTACGTGCTAAGCCCATGAGATTCACGAGTACTAGTAAATTATCATAAAAAGTTACCGGCGGTGGATTCGTCGTCGTCGGCGGCGATGTTGTTGGTTGCGGCTCGTTTCATTTCCAAGTCTGGTCTCGCGACGCTCCTCACATCTGTCAGGTAATAGTCACGGGCTAGTTGGGCGTACGATTCGTGAACGCTGTAGTTCTTGTACACGTACAAGAAGTTCTTCAGCACTACTTTGTTCTGCGCAAACCCGTCCAAAGAATAGCCCTGCGCCATGAAAATATAATGATTGAAAAAAATTCATAAAAAAATGCTTCCACATTAAAAAAGTATTTCAGTACATTTTACATTATTTTGTATTTACTCAAAACATAAAGTAATATTAGATCCGTTAGGTACCTACAAACATTAGCAAAAATATTAATTTATTCGTTTTCCGTACTACCACCCACCTGTTACCACCTGCAACAGTTAATGAGAACAGCTTTGATATACAATGGTACAATTATATACCTAGGTATACACTTTTGTCGTCCATATAACTATATATTAGGTGTTATTTCACCGTTCCCATAGGTTGTGCCTTGTGCGATGATTTACTTATTATTTACTTATCACGACGTGTATTGGATGTGTGCATAGTATTAACTATATGGTGGCTACATACCTTGATGGTCGAGAGCACTTCTTTGTAGGAATTCTTGTCCGGCAGCTCACCGCCCATGGTCGCCACAAGTTGGCTTTTGGTTTCCGAGTCGGCTCCCTCAGCTGCTAGCGCCAAAATCACGGAACTCGCGAATGGGGACACCACGTAATTGAAATTATCATCAGACGTGGCCTGAGACGAGACAAGTCATATTTATAAAACCGTTTTTGTATTGTCTAATTCTTCTTATTTATATAGGTATGGTACTATGGTATACCCGATATATGGTGTGATTCAACAAGCATGCTCACCCCCCCCCCACCATGTTTTCCTTTAATAAAACATTTATTAAAATTATAATTTTTGAAATTTTTTAATATACTTAAGACCATATATTCTGTAAGATAGATGTTATACCTATAACCTATATATTATTTCTTGATTATTTGAATCTAGTATTTATTATACTTAGATCATTTTTTACAAAATTATAAACGTTGATAGATTAATATTAATTACTAAAATTTTCAAATTACCACAGTCTACAATATCTTCCAAATCCATTATCATGGATCCTTAGTTCACAAAGTTCAATAACTCAAAAACTACTCGCTAAAATTGTTATTTTGATACATCGATATTTCTAAAAAAATAATATTACGTAGAAAATAAGGGGTTCTCGTTTGAATAACAGACGTATGTATCTCCAGAGGACACTATATCCTTCCAAAGCTCAAAAAAATCTCAAGAATTTTAAAACATTATCTTTGAGTATATACCTACAATTTAATTATTTGAAAATTTCCAAAAATTAGATTTTTAAATAACTGCACTATCAAAGAAAAAATGGGGGTGAGCTCATGCGGGGTAAATGTACATAGGTACATAATACATATAGAGAGTGGTGCATAGGTTCGAGGTGATAAATTTAGATTCTTTTAAAATCGAATCACTTCTCGCCTATTCACTCTGACCTGCAGCTGTCAACATACCTTAAGCAGGACGTCGGTCATGATTTCCGTGGTTTTCGATATACCGTTTTCCGGTAGCAGTTGACCGGAAACAGTGATGGCCAGCAAGCATAGTCCGACGGCAGCGGCGGCCAACGAGACAGACGTCATATTATTATTATTGTTGGACAAAGTTGTGCTCGTCTTGGATATACAGCTGCTGTTGTGCTTATACCTAGTAAAACTGCGATGTGTTTCGATGAGAACGCGACCGAGATCAATGATCTTTTTCTTTCGGTATGGAAAACAAAAAAACGGAATAATAATAATAATAATAATAAACGACTACATAAACCGGTTGAACTTCATTATACATTCAAGCGCAGAGACTATAATATATATATATATGTGTACCTATATATATTTATCAAATATGCGGTTGAAAGTACCTTCGAGCATCTATATATAAATATAAAATACATACATATATATAATATTATATACCATATTATGTACTATATACGCTCGACGTATATGAATATTAATATAATGCCACGGCGGCGGCGTTGACAACCGTGCCCAGTAGGAGTCCTTTATACTAATATCGTTATTATAATTATAATCTTATAGTTCGCCCGGACAAGGAACTAATTTTTTTTCGCACCCGTCCGTACCTATTATATTATTTCAAGTAGAAAGTTTGGTATATTATTTGTTTAGAAAACTCTCGCATGTCGACGATATTACAATGATGAATAATACGCCTAACCTAACCTCTTAAAGCGATGGTCTCGTGTTACTTTTACACCAGACATATATTATATATTGCATATTATACTAATATTAATACGTGTATACCTACATTGTATGCGTATATAAACAGAGGTTATAGTGTCACCATTTTGATTGCTGTCGAAAAGTGCCATTTAAAATTTGTAAATTTTCGTGATTTTGATGATTTTACTCAATACTTGGATTTATGACGCTTATAAAAAAAATATTCCTACAAAATTTTAATTAATTTAAAAACTATAGAAAAATTTTTATTTACTTATTGGATGACTTATAAGATTTTGGGGACATTGCAGAATTTAGAAAAATACTACTCAAGCTTTTACGCCAATAAATTTACATGCTTTCAATTCTGGAGATATAAGTACTAGAGTTTGAATTCAAATAAAAATGGCTATAAAAATTAGACATTTCCAAATAAATTAAATTAATAATAATATGGAGTCTGCACTAGTTTAGATATTAGACTTACTGATGAACACAATATATAATGACCCTCACCCGCACCGTAATTCTGCTTAATACTGAAATTAGTATTATTTTATATATTATATTAATGGTAGCTATTGGTTATTCGGGCAGAGAAGGTAAGACTCGTAAGAGTATATGCATCAAATCGTCCCGTATATTGACTTGAATAAAAAAATTATGAGAGTTGAATATACATATATGTTTGTAGTTTACCTAAATAAGTATTAAAAAACTACTTGGCCGATTTTGTGTGAACAATTAAAATTGTTCATAGAATCAACAGAAAGTTTAGACGGTATAGTTTGAACCGTTAGTTAGATTTATACCAATAGTGCTATAATGACTAGATATATAATAAATATCCAATCCAATTGTCGATCACATAGTCAAATTAGATCACAAAGAGAGGTACACAAACGCCGATTTATCCGTGATCTGAGGTACGCTACAACCAGTGCTTGGAAATATCGTGTTCAAAGTAACTCTTTTCAATGATTATGTTCAATTTTCAAGAACTTAATGGAAACGGTTCTTCTGACATAGATAAATCGTCCGAATAACCTGTTATTATTCGAAACATCAAGTATCACACTAATATGGACATAAATATACTCTGGTAATTTATTACTGAAAAATATTTTACTAAATATATTAAAATCTGAATATAATAGTATGTAGGTACTGTTGATATTATCTTTCAACATAATTTATATTAAAAAAAAAACTGAGCAAGTGTAAGGGCTGACTGCTTTTAGAATACTTTTAAAGCTTTTTAAATTAAGTATATATGGGAAGTATTTTAAATACTGCCTTGGACAAATTTGTATGTTAAAATTAATTACTTTTCAAAATTCAGAAGAATTATTCGACACACTATTCGATGGTAAAATAAAATACAATTATTAAACATTTATTCGAATGATATTTATATATTTTATATTTAATTAACAGCCATTGATTAATTAATATTATAGTAGGTTACTATAATATTAGGTACTTACCTACTTGTAAAATTAAAAACGTATTTAAACACATGCCAAGTATTTGTATTTGTTCTTAAATACTTTTTCTAAAAGCATTTGAAATGTATTTTAAATATTTTCTGAATGGACGTATGTTTATTGAATACAGTTTTAAAAACAATTTTTACAAAACTGCCAATATGACATAATGCATAGGTATATTGGGACTATATTTGCACCGATTTGTGCGACCATTTGAGTTCTTGACTTACGTTCCAATGCCTTCAAAAGTTAAAATTAAAGTTAAATCAAATTGTTTCCTATGAGTGCATATTACTCAAATATGAATGAGATGTTAATAATCACCTGTTCATTTATTCGTATTTATCATGAAATTCATAAATTAGATAATATATGTAACAATGTAACAAAAATATAATTTATATCGTTCATATAAAAAATGTATCAACATATCAATATATTAATTTCTATTTGCTTAATCAAAATCCAATTTGATATTTTGCGTGTTCGATCCTATCGATAATAACGAAGATAATAATAAAGATAATAAAGATAATAATTATCATTATATAATATCGTACCGAGGTCTGAATAATTATATTATAATAAATAAATTATAATATTATAATGCGTGTGCATTGAGAATATATTGAGTAGCCTATATACGTTCATCACGCGACGGCGCGTGGCATTTTGCCCGAAAGACACATTATTAATTATCATAATAATATACTGTTATTATTGTATCGATCTGAAGTTGTGTGCTTTGTGTTGTCACATGTTTTGTAGTTGGCAAGAAAGTCTTCACCGTTGGGCTGAATCTTCAGTGGATCGTCTTCGTCCAGTTCCGGCTCCAAATTGTCGACGTCATCCTACACATAAGACAACACCATTAAATGTTATAAAATACCTACGCTATAGTCGCAAGTTTGTTATTGTTCAATAAACTATATTATTAAATAATAAATTAAGTAGATTCTAAAAATCCTTTACCCACGCAAGGGTACACGGTTGGTTTTTAGAAGCACATAGCTCATAGGTATGTGGGGCGAGGATACGTCACTAAAAACCCGGGTCGTTACCCATCAGGGACCTAGCGTCTCCAGACGATGCTTGACCGTAGCACACATTATTATAGTCGGGCTCACGAAAAGTGAACGTTTACTTCAGCGATCCCCGTGGCCGTTTTTAATAAGTGATCATCAAACATATTGGCGAGATTTTTAAAATTGTAACCTAACCTGTAGCCAAAAGGTGCACGAACGAAATACTACAAATTTGGGAACCCAGGGTTCCGACTATATTTGAACTCCACCCATCGATCTTGAAAATTTCGCTTTTCGTGAGCCAGAATATGGTGACTGCGGCCCACCACCATATCACACCTGCAGGCCCCATTTTAAACTTTATACCTTAATTATAATTTGTGTTTATTTATTGTACCTACTGCGAAATTATTAACTATAAACTGTAGAAAATTGTTAAGTAGATACATAATGCACATAAGTTCGATTTTCAAAGTTCCCTCTACTGTTCTCTCTTTAGGCCTATACTGTATAGGCTATACATATATAATAGGTACTCGAGTATGGATATGTACTTTGGTACCTATATTATAGCCAGTCTTACGATTGAACGTGTTCAAAGAATCTTCTTTTTCCATGTGACTACATTATTCCAATAGGTGCACTACTCAAAATAATTCCAAGTGAAAAGTCTAAAGTATAAAAAGTCCACGGTAAAGAAATTCCAGTACATATTAAGGTAAAAATAAAAATGCTATGTGGTTAACAATAAATAATTAACATTAATATACATTTTAATTAAACGATTGACGTAATGAAATTAACAATTAATTTTGTAGGCACCTATATCAATAACCAATATCGACAACATCACAACTCGTTAGTGATATAACTATACTAACCTTCAAAACCTAGGTAATTATTATAATTATTGTATTTCTTTTTATTTTAATAATTAATAATTTCTGCTAATTTTACTATAAGGCCCTCCGCACACGAAGCTACTAAAAAGAAACTAAACTAGTAAGTGATTTGAATCACTATAAAATCACAAACTGATTACAGGCGCGGCTCCGCACACGAAGCTACTCATTAGTGACCAAAATCATAAATTTGCAGAACGAAATGAGCGCGTAGGTACTACACTGTACGACTTACAAAGCTTAGTTAAGTATTGTAGTGTATAGTTATAAAGTTGAAAGTTAGTTTTACTATAGTTGTGCCAGTTGTGGTATATACACGTCATACAAATTTGTTATACAAACATGTCAAGTACGGATTCCAGTGATGAAGAAATTATGGTAATGTACCATTACCTTAGAAATAAGGAAAAGAAAATGAAAAGGAGATATTGGGTACATCCGTATCTTGAAAAAAACATTCATTGCAGATTATTTGTAGCAACAAAGGAGCTACAACAAACAGACTCTAAATTTATTGCTTTTTACCGTATGTCTAAGGATAGTTATATGAATTTAGTGCAACTGATAACTCCTTATATACGACAGAAAAACACAAACATGAGAGAATGCGTGAGCGCTGAAGAAAGATTATTAATAACCCTAAGGTAAGTAACTAAAAAGTAATTTTAATTTTAATAATTTATTTATTGTAATAAAAGAATAATAACAATATAATACTACATTTTTTAAACATGAATTATATTCAATTAGGTAATACTTTATAAATTAAAAATATTTTAGGTAGCTAGGTTCAAAATATGTTTTTCTTTTCATATTGTGTATGCTAATAACTATTACTGAAATTTATTGTAAGCTTTGATGTGTATTGTATGGTTCGTAGTTCTCTGTAAAAGCTTCCTTAACTACGTTGTAATACTTATCTGCAGCAGTGATTTGACTGTTTTCAGATGTTTCTAGAGATTCATATTGTGGTATATGAGTAACACTAGCTGAGTCGCTTACACTTCTAGATGTATGAGGTGTTTCTATTGAATATGATCTGTGTGTAGTTGCTTGAGATACTAGTGAGTCAACTGATGCTACAGGAGAATAATTGTTATAGGAATTTAGAGACAAGATGTTATCAATTGTTTGAAGACATGTACGTTTAAATGTTCGTATTTGATCATCGTTCATTAATTCTAGATCTGGTATCATGCTTAAAAGGAACATTTTGAGTGCTTCAGTTTTTGTATTTTGTTTAGTATTGCGATCGGGATCACGATCAATTTTCGCTTTTTTGGCTTCTAGATATTCAATAAAAGTTTTGTCAACTGCATCATTTTTAAAAATGGCACGTTTGTTTTTTGGTCGAGTTGTTGGCTGAGATTGTGTTTCAGTAGAGTTTGCATATTGTGTATAATATGGCTGAGAAGTAACCGATGTTATTGGAATGTTTGGAGTTGATGGTTGAGGTGGTGATAATGGTTGTGAGTCATGTAAGTCGTCATTTTCTTTGAATTCTTGGTTTTCATTCTCTTCTGGTATATTGGGTACATTTCCAGTAGTTGAACTTAAAGTTTTAATGTATGGAATAGTAAATTGCATAGCTTCTGCGAGATAGTACGGCTTTTTTTTCGTTCCGGAACCACTTGGAGCTGGTTTCATATGCCGAACAAAAACTGCTCGCAAATTTTTCCATTTTTCTTTACATTCTCCCACTACAATTAAAATGAGAATTTATAAATAATACTTATCTGCGTCACAATAAATTTATTAGATTAATAATATAAAATATATAATATTTAATAAAAATAAATAAAAATATAATATAAAATAATAATTAATTGTTATATAATATATTATAATATATATATATTATATATTATATATTATTATATATTATATTTTAATAAAATAATTCAGGGATAGTAAAATTCCGTTTTTTTAGTTTTCACTAGATTTAATACGTCGTTTTAATATAGGTCCTATTTATTTTTCAAATATCTAGGTATTTAGCAACAGGTGGAACATTTGTGTCAATATCAATTTACTTCGCCAGAGGAGAGACTACAGTAGGATGCATTGTAGCAGAGACATCAGCAATACTTTGGGCTATATTAAATAAAAAGTATATGCCTATACCCGACAAACAGCAGTGGAAAATAATTGCCGAACGTTTCGAGACCTTATGGAACTTACCAAATTGTATTGGCGCTCTCGACGGCAAACATGTAAGAATAGAGAAATTCCCAAACACAGGCTCCACTAATTACAATTATAAATCGTTCCATTCCGTTGTATTAATGGCATGTTGCGACGCAGACGGGTTATTTACAATGATAGAGGTGGGATATGCTGGACGAAATAGCGATGGAGGCATTTTTCGCGCTTCCGCTATGAAACATTGGATTACGCATGCTGGTTTTGATATTCCTCCACCCTCGCCATTAAAGTACGATGAAAAAAAATGTCCTTTTCCGTATTATTTAGCGGCAGACGAAGCATTTCCTTTGTCAAGCTATCTTATGAGACCATATGCAAAAAAAACTTTAGATAATATGAAACGAATTTTTAACTATAGATTGAGTCGTGCTAGAAAAACTATAGAATGCACCTTTGGAATGGCTGCTGAAAAATGGGCTATTTTAAATGGACCTATTCGTGGTCATGACCCTAAAAAAGTGAATGATTTTATAAAAGCAGCGTGTATTCTCCATAATTATGTCCGAAAAACAGAAGGGCTTGAATACACGCCTATACATATTGACGATCATGAAATAGTTGCCAATGAAAATTATGTAATACCACCAACGGCACCAACAGTACAAAACACAATATCAATAAATATCAACTCTTCAGCTAATGTTTTGAGAAATTATTTAGCCAACTATTTCATTAATCCACGAGCAGCTTTACCGTGGCAATGGAAGTACTGCTGTTGAATTCAAAGATCATTGAATGTTTTTTTCAAATTAATTGATTATGATTATTTATAAATTATTATATACATTTTAATAATTTAATTAATAATATTTAATAACATAAAATTTATTTTCATGTATATTTTTTTAATGTATTCAAAATAAAAATATGTGTGTATATATGTATGTGTTATGCTTTAATAAAATAAATAATTATATAGCCAATCGTGAAAACCGAATTTCAAAATGTTTATAATATTTAAATATACTTTGCAAAATTTAAAAATTCTGTTGATGTTTTTTTGATGTTTGTACATAAAACGGTTATCGATAAAAATAATAAATATTTATCAAAGATGTAGGTACCTGATAAATTAACTGCTTTTCCCACTTCACTCCAAGCTTTTTCTGTAATATCCTTACGAGAATAGGCAGGAAGCTGATAGTTATACAATTCTGGATGTTTTTCCACTTCTCCCACAAGTTTAATATTTAAAATTTGTTCATTCATTATGACTATATTACATATAATATGTAATATATTACAATAGTCTACAATTAAACAAATTTCATCCAATGGAATGTGACACTATAAAATAGGAAACTAGAAACTCAAATAGCTAGGATACTGGGAAGTCGCGTCGCTATCAACTAGTTTACAACGCGTCGTAGACAAGTTACTAACAGGTAGCGTCGTGTGCGGAACTCCACTTGATTAAATTGCCAGCAACGCAAAACAAACTTATCAGTAACTAGAATTACTAATCGGTTTTATTTAGGTATCTCCGTGTGCGGAGGGCCTAAGGATACCGGACTTTTTACCCCTGACTGCTTGGCTTACCAACAACGGACTTTTTAACCCCGAAAAAAAAAGGGTACCTAAATCCTAAACCATCATTCTCCAGCACCGCAAGTGCATCTATTATATTATATAATTGTTATAAATGTATAAAATTAATATGTACGTCATCTTCGTCGGAATTACTGCTGTCATCCTCATCGTCACCACTGTCATCGTTGAAATAATCATATTCGTCATCCGATGACGACTGATCGAAAGCCGGATGCTCATTTTGTAACAACATGTTCCTCACATCCACTAACCGCTCGACCGCCGAAGGGTACGCGTTGATGTTGCTCTCGATCGTTTTTTCGATGATGCCGGTCATCCCTTCTTCTTTGGCCACGACCATCATCTCCTGGCTTTTGAACATATTGTACAAGATACCGGATATGCATGGCATGATCTATAAACACCAACGAGAAGCTTGAATAAAATTCGATTAAGTAGATAAGTATAATTGAACATGAATGTAAAGTTAGCCCCACCTCCTGTCCTCCTCCCACTTTGTCTAAATCACACCGGACAATTAATATTGTAAGTTTTAGATCTTAATTTGGAAGTAATTGTAAGTTAGACTCCCCCCCGAGCTTTAAATCGATAAACTTACAAATTCACAAGGTCAACTTTAAAGTTTGTCCGGTATAATATGAAAATTGTTAGAGAGGGGGGGAAGCATTACTTCACATCAACTGAACGACCCATACTAATATTTATATAATTATGAACACACGGCGTTCTGGATAGGCTTTTTAGGTACATTAATTGCTATAATGTGGTCCGTTTTCCGGCATCACATAAATCATAACATATTTTAAAATAGTTGAAACCTATATTATAAGCATAATGGGAAAAAATGTGTCCAAACGTTTTACAAAATTCAAATATTCAAATATTATTACTGTATGTATAGGAATTACAAAAAATAAATATATAGGTATAGGTTATCGTTGAGACTAAATATGTATAATATTGTTTCATACAATATTTAAAAGTAAAAAAAATTGTTCTATAATGTGTTCATAGTTGCCGGTAAACATGACTCACCGTTGATTACAAGACGTACACTCGTAATTATTGATGTTCAATGTTATTTTACACGTCATACGTTAAATTTAAATACAATAATACTCATGGTCATGGTATTTCATTGATAACGAGAAACGGCCGTTTTATAATAAAAAAAAATATCGGTACAAAAATAAAATAGGTAATCAATAATTTTTTTCGCATATTTAATATTCATTGATTTACAATGACCCTGTAATCTGTATATTACTCGTGTTATACAAGTAATAATAATAGATTTATTTTTTTTATAGATTCTCGTGTTGTATATATAGTTTTCCCTTACATCCACGTCTAACGTCGTCATGAAAACTCCCAAGCTTTTGAACAGGTTTCGGGCACGTGAGCCACAAGCCCGGACGGCCGTCTGGCATTGGCAGAGGTTCATGAACAGCCCCAGACTATATTCCAGATCGTACATCTCGTATTTGTTCCGATCACCGGTGAATTCGCTTTTCCGAACCAGCTGGTCGGCCAGCCAAGTGGTCAGACCGTTTCCGATCATCCGTTTTCGCACTCGCGATCTTTAACACAATACAACCTATATAATATAGGTATCATAACATATTATAAGTTGGACATTTTGGTTTTTATTTGTACCATTTTTAGTTGCAATTACCGATATTATGTTATACACTCTAGTCTCTAGTTTACGAGATGCAACTAAATTATGAATAATAAATTACACACAAATTTTTCAAATTTTTTCAAAATTAACAATCACCCAAAAACAGCCAGGGACTTAATTCGTTGTAAAAGTTTTTATTGGGGCTCAGTTCATGCAGTTCGTAGCCTTGTAAATTATTGTTCGAGCAACTTGTACAACAGGTGTAAAAATGTGCAGTTATGGCGAGCTCGGTCTCATTGGATCATAATCCTCGTGAAGATATTCTAAAATATGTCATAACTCATAATATTTCCTAAAATAATATATTTTTTTTCCATTGGATTTTCAACTAATTGTTTTCAACAGTTTGGTATACAAATATACAATATAGTTTGACCTTTAACAATAATTTAAAGATAATGGGTTTTTCAGGTTTTTATGTTGTGTAAGTTCCTTTAGTACATATTTTTTAAAAGTACCTAATTAATCAGCTTGCGCCGCTCTTCCCTATATAGGTACTACATACTGTCACTAAACGAATTAAACAATATATATATATATATTAATATATCGTAAATATCATCTCGAGGGTAATAATAATTAATCGTTGGAGATATTAGCATATTACAATAATATGTCTTTGCATATTATTATTATGCGATATGTCATATGTGCATACCCCATACTGAGCTTCTGTAAAGTTCCCAACAACATGTTGCTCGTGATCGTGTCCCAAAAGTGTTGCGACGATATGAGCTGAGTAATGATTAGACGGAGTAAAAATGGAGAGTCCGCCAAATACTTGCGGCCCCTGTTGAATGACGCCAGAGCATTCAGCAGTCTCGATATCATTTGTTGTAGCGGATGTGGTCCGTTTGTCATCATCAGCCATTTCATGAGTCCTTGTTCGGCTTTGGGCTTGCACAAGTCCAATAGATCGTATTTTTTTATCATCACTACTGTGTCGGTTCTGTTTTCCGATTTTGTCAACCTCTTCCAAAAATATTACACAAACAAATTTGATATTAAGTAATCATAATATTTAGCCATTTAGGTACCTATGTGTTAATACTTAATAGCACGCTAAAGATCTCCAATAATTATAAGAAAATATGTTAAAAATTGAAAACAAATATAAATTATTTTAGGTGGGAAAGTTATTAATATAAGTGAACCTGAGTTAATTAAGTTGAGTCCGTGTTAATAACTGTAATTGTGTTGTTAGAGATCAATACATTTCTCTAAAAGTTTAAAGTTAATAGTATCTTATAAGTTATAAGTTATCAATTGTTAGTTAATTTTTTTTTAATTACACCTGAGACACACATTTTAAAGAGATTTTTTCAAAACAATAACTAAATAACAGTCAATAACTATATTGATAACTATTAAAGTATAGATATGTATAAACATGATTATAACACAACGTGATATTTTTCAAATTAACTAGAAAAAGCCAAATTTTTACTAGGCTGCAATAGTATATAGATATTTTAAGAACTGACTAGTGTTATAAATTAAAAAATATTTACTTTTTTACTTAGCTTTAACTTTCAGCTAGACATTAGCCATCTTTTAAAAATTTAAAATTTATACTTTTATATAATATGTATATTGTATATAAATATTGATGCACTGCGATTACAACCAATCTTAAATTATAATGTATTTTCTGTAGCGATATACCAAGTGAATTAGGTATATATATATTATATAGTAATATTAATATGACCAATTGTTATAATTAATATGCCTATAATATATTATAATATGACTTCGTACTTACCCAACGTAAGGCTTGTAGGATAAGTAATTTGTTCTTGGTACTGTTACCATCCCGGAGTTCGAGTTTGATTTTAAAAATGGACAAATCGAATTGGTCGTCAACAATTTCTAAATTTTGCTAAGATATATTATATTACCAAAAAGAAGAATAATAAAAAATAAATTTAATGGTGGGTGTAACTATTTAAAATTGAATATTATTGGTTCATAATAAAAAATAAAAACAACACTAACTTCATTGTCGTCGTTGTTTTCCACCACAGCATTACAGTTTTTTAAAATAATTTCCAAATTAATCGATTGTCCCCGAATCGAATTTTCCAAAGCGTTCAAAAGTTCGGCTGCCAAAGCTAATATATTATTTATATATTACACACCGTTCTTTATCAAACTTTTGTCGATACAAAATATAAAGACGTAAGTATAGTAGAATTTTAACAAACCATTTAGAGGTTTGTATTCCTTGTACAGCGTTTTAAATTTTTTTTTCGTCAATTTTCGCTTTCCCGCATCTTTGCTGGGCACTAATGTCACCGACGTGCTAATAGCGATGTCCAAAATAAAGTCCTCCAATCTTTTGTTTAGAGAATCACACCATCGATTTTCCTTGGGACGAACAAACGTTTAAAAAAACATTCGAATTTCTTACGTTTTCGAAATACGTTGCAGTGTATTGTATAATACTAATATGTTATACACTCACACTGCAACAAGTCAAAAATATAGTGTCGTACTTTAAACAAATTTTTAAACGAAGGGTGTTGCATCGGTTCGAACACGTATGGCAGTGCAAAATACGGTAAAAATTCGTTTTCAGTACTGAACTCAGCACCTCTCTGGAGCAGGAAAGTACGAAAAGCGCCCATAGAACTTTCGTTGTTTTCGTCGCTTTTGTCGTCACTGCAGTTTTCCGATTTGTTGACACGTTTTTTACATTCCAGTATGGTGTAGTAGACGTGAAGATAAAAAGTCAGTTTTCGATACTCGTCGATCTGTTTTATCTCGTCGGGTAAGTCACCCCAAGTCTGAAAATATTGGATAATATACATTTAATAAAACCATTTTTTCATATAGCGTTTATTGCAATAACTTTAAAAAAATATTTCATAGTTAAAATAAGAATACAAATACTTAAAAATGCTATGGTTAGGCATTATAGAATCGAAATATCAAAAAAATAACACCACAATATTGAGGTGACCCAGTGGATATTGCCCGAGTTGCGGTCGAAATAGACGAATTGCGGTCGTAATAATATTGAAGGTGAAATTACCGTCTTAATTGCCGTCCTTATTCGGTTATCGATTATCCGATAAGTTCTTATCCAAATTGCAGTCAGTTAACGTTATATCGTTTAGTCTATTGCAAGAGCAATACGCTGTCGTATTGACTTTAATTTTAAAAAATGTTACAAATTTCGATAATGCATATTGTATTATTTAGTGAAAGGGAAACATTTTACTTTTATTAAATAATTTTGAATTTAGAAAACGGGAGAAATGTCCTGGAGTTGCACCAATAACAATAATTGTAATGCATGAATATAGACTATCGGCTTATTCGGCGGAGAACACGTGTTTTAAAGAAGGACAAATGATCAAAAAAACTTGAAGCAGATACTATTCAAGTATTAAACAGACAGAAAATCAATAACTCTGTAAAAATGAAGGCTGATGAATTATCATTTTCGGAAAGGCCAATAGGAAAATAATTCGTCTAGAAGTGGAGAAAGATATTAATATTTTGAACACATTAACAGACAGCTGACACATGATTCGCATAGGTAAATAAATAAATGAAATATATTTTTTTTTATTCATTGATTTGAAATTGAAGAAAAAGAAATTGAATCGCTGAAATGTGTGAAATCTGTATCACACAAAAATGAACCAGTACATAATATTATAAATGTATTATTTTTATTCGTCAAATTTGTATTTTGAATCTAATCGCAGCATAATAATAATTATTAATCATATTTTCCGACCTCAACAAGGATTTTGTTTTTACCTGTTTGGATCCCGTCCGCGATATCGGCGTATTTAAGGGGGGCCAGTGGGTGGTGTATGCCTTAACACCCCATGCGCCAATTAATTAGTTTCTATTTAGGAATACACACTATATAATACTATAATGTTGATAGAAGGATATATCATAATATATATATCTAGTGTATAATAGTATACTTCCCCCCCATAAAATTAAGTCATTTACGCCACTTCCGTTAGTGGAAGACAGTCAGAAGTCCATGTAGGTAATAAAAAATAGTATAATATCCAATATAATCGTATTTTGATAATATTTTCAGTTATGATAGTGATTATTGAGGTGTTTTTTCTCCTACAGAAATAAAAAGTTATTGTGGATTTACGCTTAATATATTTGTTTCGTATATATATTTTACTAAATTTGATTATTGCACTTTAACTATAAAATGTAAATATTTAAATAAATTAAAAATTAGCTTATAATTATACAGGTAACTGAGTTAAGTTAATTGTTTTTTTCTATTTAACTATAATAAAATGTTTTACAAGTTAAAATGAAAGACAAGTAAATTTAAAATTAACTTACATTTTTTTTATATATTTTTGAATTAGGTACCTATCACAAAATAACAAAAATCATCATTATTTGTTTAAATATCTAATTTCATCATATCACAAAAATATTTTGTTTATATAATTTTCAGATTTTTTGGTTCCAGTATGAATAAGGAAGATATTACATAATTTAACAACAAAATTAAACGAATACTTTACTATTTTATATTATTGTAATATTATAAATTATAATATTATTGTTACCTTCATAAACGTCGACCTGGACGCAGATTTAAAAGACTGTATAATGGTCGCAGCTCGATCCTTCGATAGATGGACTGGATTGTTATTGCAAGTTTTGGTCGATTTGACAGACGGCGATGGCATATTCAATTTGTGGCATTCTTCGATGAAACAAGCCGAAGTCTTCGTCATGTTATTGGACAATAAGAACTGGAAGACCATCAATATTATTATAGAATATAGATGATGATAATAATAATAATAATAATGATAATATATTTTTTTTTTATAGTATTGTTTGTCTTAAGTTCGTTTTACCAGCTTTATACAGGGTGATTATCAGGCTCACCACCTTTTTTCTTCAATAATGCAGTTATTATAAACCAGATTTTTGGAATATTTAAATTTAGTTATAAAGACAAAACTGTCCAATTCTTGAGATTTTTTTACTATTCGAGAAGTGTCCTGTGGAGATACAAACTTCTATTTTTCAAATGTACACCTCATTTTCTACTGTAAATTATTTGGTATAAATTATTATTATTTTTCTGAAAATTTTGTCGTATAATAATCGATATTCAAACGAGTATTGAGCGCTCGTAGTGAGTACTCTCACCAATAATTTTTATTACAACTATGAGACAATATTATTTACATGTATTATATTATAGGTATGTGTGGTTTTTAATGATATAATAAATTAATATAATATAATGTACCAAGTACCAACACCATACAATGACAACTAAAATATAATCTCCTTTCTTCATCTTTCCTTTCTCTGTCAACTCTTCACAGGTTCTGTTAACTCCTCTTCTTGTACTAATCAACTTAAGGATCCTTGTTTGACGCACCCGTAATACTTCTACATATTTCAATCAGCATTGCACACCTAATTTGGTTAGCCTACGATGATCCGTAATTTCTTCTTCGAAATATAAGAATTAATTCACTGTCGTACCTACTATAATATTGTCTATATTGAATGTTATTTTGCTATCTTATATCATTTTTGTTACTTGGGCCATTGGTATTTAATAATAAATAATATAATATATAGGTACGTACTTCGTATATGTATTGCAAAGTTTTCGCTTCGCTCGTCGAATATTTTTTCAACCTATCCATTGTCACGGGTACCTATATATATAGGTAGGTAATATATTATATCGGTACCAGATCAAGACAACTATTAGTATACACGCCCCAAAGCGCACTAAAAAGATATTATGTTATTCCAAAATATTATACGTTTGCATTCATACCTATAAACCCACCTTGGCGTGTTGGTCGACTTAAATCGATATTGTCGCCAACGGCGCTCGTGTATACACAATAGCTAAGCACCACCTACCTATATAATATATGTGCTACAGTGCCATTCTTTTTCATGAAATATGCCCTATATAGGTATTTCTTAACCCATATTACCCACAGGCGAATTGGGCAGGGCTGCGAGATTAAGACTTTCGAATGCCCCTTAACTAGGTCCGTGAAGTTAGCCGCACAATGTCAAAATTTTGACTCCAAATTTTGTAAATAATTTGTAAGTCATTTGTAAGTATTTGTAAGCACAATTTGGTAATTTGTAAGTACAGCCGTTTTCGATTATCCTCAAAAGTTTAAATCACGGCTAACTTTCGCGAAACTTGGCCGTTTCGACATTTCAAAGCTTTTGACTACTCCAAATCGTCAAGGGCAATTCGTAAGTATTTGTAAGCACGAATTTAGAATTTGTAAGTCATCCCTTCCTTAATTATCCCTGAAAGAAAGTTGGCCGTGCTTTGTCGAGCTTTTCGAACTTTGACTGTGCCAAATCGTCAAGGGCAATTTGTAAGTATTTGTAAGCACGAATTTAGAATTTGTAAGTCATCCCTTCCTTAATTATCCCTGAAAGAAAGTTGGCCGTGCTTTGTTGAGCTTTTCGAACTTTGACTGTTCCAAATCGTCAAGGGCAATTTGTAAGTATTTGTAAGCACGAATTTAGAATTTGTAAGTCATCCCTTCCTTAATTATCCCTGAAAGAAAGTTGACCGTGCTTTGTCGAGCTTTTCGAACTTTGACTGTGCCTAATCGTCAAGGGCAATTTGTAAGTATTTGTAAGCACGAATTTAGAATTTGTAAGTCATCCCTTCCTTAATTATCCCTGAAAGAAAGTTGTGTTTATCTGTAAGTAAATATCTTATTTTATTAATATGAATAACATGATTATTTATTTTAATAAACACAAATCTCTTACCTGTAATTAAATAAACGACAATTTAAAGTCTATACTTAAAGGTTTTAATAATTATAAAGTTTTATATTAAGTATAATATTATTATATTAGTTTTTATAAAACCTATATGTGTAAAAAATGTTTGGTTTTTTTTATTTACTGGTTTACCATGGTTTTTATTATACAATTATAAAAAATATTTAAAAAATACAACAAAAATTTCCTCTTTAGGTTTTTTTTGTTATTAATTAACCCGTGGCAACTTGGGCCATTGCCCATTGTTTAGATACTAGGTTTTATATAATGGCATAATACATTAATATATAATAATATAATATTATAAACAACAAGCTAAGTTTAATAGAAGAAAATCAATACTTTAAAAATAAATTTTATTTTATTATAAATGTTATTTGAATAAAAAATATTAAATCAATAAAAAAATTCAAAATAAAGAGCCCAAGTAATTAAACAAACCTAGTATATTTAATAAAAAAATCTAATTCGTAAAATCTATTTATTTATAAAAATATACCCAATGAAAATGAAACAATAATGAATTAATAAATAAAATTTCAATCATACAAAAACCAACGTACGTAGTAGCAGCTCCCCCCCCAAAAAAAAATCTATAAACAAACTATACAAATATTTAGCACGTTATTCGCACGGCCTTCCTTCCCCTCGAAAAAAAAATCACCTCATAGTAAAAATTAACCCCCTCATTAAAAATTAAAATTTTCACAATTTTTCTTCTGCAGACATTTAGCACGTAATTCGCACCTATTCGCAAGCCTAGATTTGAAATTCGCACGATCTTCCTTCCCATCAAAAAAAAAATAATTCACCTCATAGTAAAAATACAATGTTGTCTTTATTTATTTTTATCATCTATACTGAAGAAGATTTACTTTAGATAAAAAAAAATATGGATTGAATATAACAAATCTAAAAAGAATCTTAATAAAAATTTTGATTCAATTAAAAATATTAAACAAATCTAGATTGAAATTTTTTTTAAAACAAAGTTTTTTTTAACAAATAGACTTTTTTATTAAATTTACATTTTTATTAGGTAAATACAGCTTTTTTTAAATTAAATTTTGTGTTTTTACAATAGTTTTTTTATTCTACTTGTCTTTTTTTATTGAAATACAAATTATGAAAAAATCTTAATTCAATAAAAAAATCAATATTCAATAAAAAATCTTGATTGGATTGAAAAAATTAAACAAATCTTGATAAAATATTTTTTATTAAATAGTTTTTTTATCAAAAATAGTTTTTTTTATTATAGTTTTTTTATCAAAAATAGTTTTTTTATTATATTTACATTTTTTAATTAATACAGATTTTTTTATTCTATTTAGATTTTCAATAATTTTTTTTTAAATTTCTTTTTTGATTTATTATATTCAATCAACGTTTTTTTTATCAAATATAAATTTTTTTCGGTAGAGATTTTTTCATAATTTGTATTTCAATTCAAAAAAACAATGTAGAATAAAAAACAATTGAAAAAACTAAATTAAATAAAAAAACATATTCCACAAAAAGACTTGATTGAATAAAATAAATCTAAATAGAAATAAAAAAGTCTTAATAAAAAATCTGATCAAATATAGAATTTTTAAATTTCTAATTAGATTTTTTTACAAATTGTTTTTTATTTTAAATTTAATTTTATCATCAAACAGATTTTTATTATATAAGATTTTTTTATTAAGAATATTACTTAATTACTATTTCTATTTGTTCTATTTTGTTTAGATTTTTTTCATTGAATATAGATTTTTTATCAAATTTAAATTTCTTATTATATTTAAAATTATTACATTAACTTTCGAAAAATTATTGAAAAAATCTAAATTAAATAAAAAAGTCTGTATATAATAAACATCTATTCGATGAAAAAATTATATTAAAAAAAAAAATAATTAGTAAAAAAAATGTAAATAGAAATTTAAAAATTCTATGTTTAATTAAATTTTTTATTAATGCTTTTTTATTTCTAGTTAGATTTGTTTTATTCAATCAAGTTTTTTTATGGAATAGGTTTTTTAATTAACTACAGATTTTTTATCAAATATAATTTTTTTATTATATTTAATTTTTTTTCACGAAATAGGTGAACGGGTTTTGCGCGCGAACCAGACAAGTGCGAATTTCGGTGTCTGTCATGCAAATTTATGCTAATTACATGCTAAATATTGGCGTGGAAACGATTTTGAATTTCCAAGTATTTCCCAAAGTGGGGGGGGGGGCTGGGCTTATCACTACACAGTTTACTGGTAGGTACTCATTTAACAACTATTATTTGTTAAAGTTAACGTTTAAAATGATATGATATCAGATACAATTTAGGTTTATACAGGTAAAAAGGTAAGACTGGGTCTATTTCTATACCTACCTAAAGGCCGTTAACATTTAATTATATTGTGTACAACTAAGACACAAGAAAGTAAGAATGAAATAATTCTAATATTATTAATGTTGATGATTAATATAATATAATAATCATACGTGGTTAAATTAATAAAATAATAATACAATTATTAAAAATGATAATAATGAGCAAAAAAAAAAAAATTTAATTTGTATAAAAAACATTCATAATAAAAATGAAAATATTAGAAAAAAGGGATTTTCCTTCATGTTTCTTGAAAAAAAGGTAGTTATGCGCATATTTGATGATAAACAAAACACAGACACTTCAATTTAACTTAAAACTACGATTTCAACGTCGAAGAAAAACTTACGTGAAAATTGGTGAGTATCTATGGAAAGAAAATGCATTCCTTGATTATTATTTGTTATCATATAAGATTATGCTGTCTGCTGTTATCAACCACACTGTGTCTAATGATTACAACAGGTTGATATAAGGTCAAGAAGGGTTAACATAAAAACTAATATAATAATATTATACTTAATATAAAACTTTATAATTATTAAAACCTTTAAGTATAGACTTTAAATTGTCGTTTATTTAATTACAGGTAAGAGATTTGTGTTTATTAAAATAAATAATCATGTTATTCATATTAATAAAATAAGATATTTACTTACAGATAAACACAACTTTCTTTCAGGGATAATTAAGGAAGGGATGACTTACAAATTCTAAATTCGTGCTTACAAATACTTACAAATTGCCCTTGACGATTAGGCACAGTCAAAGTTCGAAAAGCTCGACAAAGCACGGTCAACTTTCTTTCAGGGATAATTAAGGAAGGGATGACTTACAAATTCTAAATTCGTGCTTACAAATACTTACAAATTGCCCTTGACGATTTGGAACAGTCAAAGTTCGAAAAGCTCAACAAAGCACGGCCAACTTTCTTTCAGGGATAATTAAGGAAGGGATGACTTACAAATTCTAAATTCGTGCTTACAAATACTTACAAATTGCCCTTGACGATTTGGCACAGTCAAAGTTCGAAAAGCTCGACAAAGCACGGCCAACTTTCTTTCAGGGATAATTAAGGAAGGGATGACTTACAAATTCTAAATTCGTGCTTACAAATACTTACGAATTGCCCTTGACGATTTGGAGTAGTCAAAAGCTTTGAAATGTCGAAACGGCCAAGTTTCGCGAAAGTTAGCCGTGATTTAAACTTTTGAGGATAATCGAAAACGGCTGTACTTACAAATTACCAAATTGTGCTTACAAATACTTACAAATGACTTACAAATTATTTACAAAATTTGGAGTCAAAATTTTGACATTGTGCGGCTAACTTCACGGAGCTCCCTTAACTGGAAAATAACGGTCAGGTCCGGCGCTGCCAAAAGTTAATTGTGGGGGGGGGGAGGGTTGGATAAAAAAGTTTGCTGACTCAAAGTATACAATATTAGCTGACTCCAAATGTAAAAAAAATGGGTAAGTGGGTGTCGCTCTGCTGTAGGT